TTGTACCTATTTAATAATTTTTAAAAATAACCCTGTATAATATACCACATTTTTGTTCATTACTTTATTATCCGTGAAAAAAACACCTGTACTTTTATATAATTTTTTGTACCTTTATAATAATAATAATACAGCGTTATGATAACAAATTATTATATAGGTAGGTACATGGAAAAAAATTTATATGTACAAAAATAGTAAAATATATTATATAATGATAGACTTAAAAAAAACATAGATAAGAGTATTAAATAGTATAACATACAATAAATTGATAGGCTGAACATACAATGACCATACACCCAGAAAAAAATCGTTCAATGTTTTAATGAAATGGAATCATTATTTTTAGGTACAACCTAGAATTGGCTGTAGTCAATTTGCACCATTTTTTTAAAATGCGTTTGTAATTTGCACCAAAATAAAAATATGTAATTTGCACCATCCTCAAGTAGCAAGAAATAGGAATTGTAATATGCACCAAAATTAAAATCGGTTATTTTTTCGATAGTATCTCGATAGTACCAACTTACAAGTTTCTATATCCTAAACCCTAACATAAATTTAGCTTAGTTTTTATTTATAAAATAGCTGAGCTTATACACATATTGTTGTAAGTCTTATAAAATTGTATTGTTATGAATATAAAAAAAGTTAGCTTTTTTTAATTCTACATATAATTATTTTAATTGACTAACTTATTTTTATATTCATAATAATACGATTTTATATAAACTTACAAAAATATGTGGATAAGCTCAGCTATTTTATAAACAAAAGCTAAGCTAAAGTTATATTAGGATATAGAAACTTGTAAGTTGGTACTATCAAAAAAATAATAGATTTTAATTTTGGTGCAAATTACAATTCCTATTTCTTATTACCTAAGGGTGGTACAATTACATACCCTTATTTTGGTGCAAATTATAAGCACTACTTTCGACTACCTGAAATGCTGCAAATTACATATCTTTAATTTGATTCAAATTACAAACTCCCATAGAATTAATACTGAATTGTATTAAATTAATCAATTTCTCTTTAAAACAAATCCTTATTCAATATATTAATATCCATAATTTAAAGATAACTCAATTAATTGACTTAAAAAAAGTCATTTACTTTAAAGACAACTTATTATGTTAATAATTTTTTTCATTACTTCATTATCTGTGAAAAAAAACCCCTGTACTTATTTAATATTTAATATTTTGATCCTATATAATAATAATTTGTTATCATAACACTGTATAGTGTATACAGTGTGATCACGATATTAGGTACCACTGAATATCTCAGATGGGTTACTTTGTATTGAAATGAGGTTTTCGGGAGATGATAGGAAGTACTTAAATATATATTTTCAGACCAGTTTAAAATGTTTAGCTCACTCCGTATAGTACGACTTACTTTTTTTTAAAAGGCAACCCCAGTTTTTAAAAGCAGATTCAAGTAGAGTATTTTTTTTTAAACATTTATTGTATAAAAAGTTTTTTTCGATTTTCTAAACTGACCAAGTTAGAGTAAGTCAAACGTTGGATTTATGCATGATATGATTAATATGTTTAATGCAATTTTCATTTATGACCACTGGAATTAATAAAATAAGTGCCAAATAAATGTTTAATGGTGGACAGAGTGGCCGGCAGACTAAGGCGTTGGTTGCGACGCGCACCGTTGGTTTTACGAACTCGGCCACGGGCGGCATTTTTCTTCTGGCAGTCACGGTGTCCGGAGAGAGAGAGGCCGTCCTCCCCCAACCGGGCATGGCAGATACCTACGGGTTCCCACTTAAAAATTCTGCCAAAACAAACACACACGTAGGCGTCTGCCATGCCCAGACGGGGATGTCACCGACATGGCCTCTCTCTCCGGACACCGTGACTGCCAGAAGAAAAATGCCGCCCGTGGCCGAGTTCGTAAAACCGACGGTGCGCAAAATTGTAAATTTGCGATGTAAATTTCAAGCCATACACGTTGTAGTAAAAATTCCATTTATGGTGGACAGTTTTCAGTTTTCCAAAATTAATCTACTGTAGGTGTAGAACACCAACAGCACAACCTTCTTCCAATCTTAATGAGCCGCCTTCTAAAAGATGCGAACCTTCCCTTTGATCGTTTTTTTACGGACTCTCCGTCTTTCAGCTCCCCGCTGATGTCATGTTCTGTTGAGTCCTCCTTTCGTACTGATTTCGTTTCGACTACGTTTTCGATTTGTGGTGGCAATATTCTTACAGAAATCTGGCCGGTCCTAACGACGTCCGGCAGTGGTAAATATACTGCGAATACAAAGTTTAGTGACCTACTAACGGCCGCCACACGCAAGGCTTCGTTTAATGCTTTCCAGAGATATACTTTTCCGTAATGCTTCACCAAGTTCTTTTTTCTTCTTTGAACTATCTGCATCGTCGTAATGTTCTCAGCGATGAAGACATTTTCTCCAGTTCTCTCATGTATTCCAGGTTTCCGTCCTTGAACCGAGGGCTGCTGATCACTTTGACAACCACTTGCACAATCCACCGTGTGGCCCACGGTTTGAATCAGCGGTATAATTTGTTCGGCGTTATATGAATATCGTTTATGATGTCGGCAATATTTTCACTTGTGTTTATGCACAAATCCAATTCGCTTGTTGAGGCAATGTTAATTTCTTGAACATTTTCCATCTCAATAAATAATATATTATATTAATTCAAACTTGACAATGAGAGCTAAAATAATATGTAATAACTTTAAACTGTTAAGTCGGATTATCAAATAACAAAAATTGTTATGCGAGAACGACTCGATAGATTTTCGTGGCAACGAAATATAATAGTACAGGTGTTTTTTTCACAGATAATAAAGTAATGAACAAAAATGTGGTATATTATGCAGGGTTATTTTTAAAAATTATTAAATAGGTACAAAATATCAAAAATAAATCTTGGGCAAGTAATATATCTAACCTAATATCTAAAAACTATACCTTGAGAAAATTTCAAGCCATACACGTTGTAGTAAAAATTACATAATAGTAACATAATATCTTAAAACTATACTATTTCCGTAAGCACCAAATTTAATCCACTGTAAGCGCGGCACACCAACAGCACAACCTTCAAGGTAAATTTCCATGGCACCCCCACTTTGGAATTTTTAAATGAAACCAAGAGCCTTTTTTTGTGCTTCATTTGTGCTGATTCGTGCCGAAATTCCCAACATTTGTGTTTTCGAACTTCCGAGATACGAACGTTTTTCATAGGAGAGGTTATAGTAGGTTTCATAGGGCCTTGGAAATGGTTTTACCAACTTTTAACCCTTATAACAAGACTATAATAACCCTTAGTAAAAAATATTATTATTATTATTTTGTAATTTGGCATAGTATAATTATAGTTTTTACACAATATTTTATAAACAATTAGTTTTTTACATGTATTTATATGTTTTAAATTTTTTTATAATTAATTAAATTTCTGTTATATTATATGTGTTAAAAAACTTATATCGACTTATATACCAAATGTCTAAAATACACGATCAATAACATAATTATTACAATATAATATAATATTAATAATGATTGTATGATTTGAATTCCATTTATTTAATAAAACATTTATCATAATAAATTTTAATAATATTATGTGTCAACTATTAAAATATTATGTGGTTAAAAATGGTTTTCCTAGGCATAATTAAAGAAAAAGTATAACGACTACATAATGATAATTATTATCCCTTGTTAATTAAATATATTAGTTATTACAAACTTAAAAATTTATAAAAATTTAATAAAAATTTAAATAAAAATTTTTTTTAATACTTAACAACTCATTACAGTTTATTTTATTATAACGTCAAAACAAATAAGTTAGTACAATCGTGTATACGTACATTATAAAATACATATAAATAAATAGACATCTTTTTTTTAAATGTTCACATCACTTTGTAATTATATATATCTGCAATTTTTTTTTAGTACATAGAAACAAATTTATTCATACAAGTTTGTATACTTAAAACTATATAAAATATATCAACATATATACATATATATATACATATAAATATTATAATAAAATAAATAAATAAATAATATTATACAATAAATGGTCAAACTCTATGCAATGTACATAAGTCATAAACTATAGTAAAACATAATGAAAATAGATTTGAAACAATAAAATATTAAACAGGCAATAAATAGGTAATCCAATTGTATTTATCTGCATACATATAAAATAAAACAAAACAAATTTAAATATTAAAAAATTAAAATGAATAATTTTCCATATAAATATCACATTTATTATATATTATAGTTTTTATTTTTGATAAATTATTTAGTGTATATTAAATATTGACAATTTTGTATCTCGGTTGTTGGTCACATCAAAATTGTCAATATTTAATATACACATTTAATATGTGATGTCAATATTAGACATTTGGTATATAAGTCGATATAAGTTTTTTAACACATATAATATAACAGAAATTTAATTAATTATAAAAAAATTTAAAACATATAAATACATGTAAAAAACTAATTGTTTATAAAATATTGTTTAAAAACTATAATTATACTATGCCAAATTACAAAATAATAATAATAATATTTTTTACTAAGGGTTATTATAGTCTTGTTATAAGGGTTAAAAGTTGGTAAAACCATTTCCAAGGCACCTCCCCTATGAAAAACGTTCGTATCTCGGGAAGTTCGAAAACACAAATGTTGGGAATTTCGGCACGAATCAGCACAAATGAAGCACAAAAAAAGGCTCTTGGTTTCATTTAAAAATTCCAAAGTGGGGGTGCCAGGGAAATGGACCTCAACCTTCGGCCAGTCTTAAGAAGCCTAATTCTAAGAGCCGCAAACCGGCGCATTGTGCGTTTATTCACCGACCCTCCTTCTAGCCGGTCCCCGCCGTCGTCATCGGCTGCGGTAAAGCACGATTGAGCATAAAACGATTGAGCATAGACCTTTTTAGCAACACGATTGAGCATAGTTTATTTTATGCGATGTTGCCACATTCACGTTGCCAACATTTTGTAATTTATTATTTTCTCGTATTATTACACCAATTATTATGATATCTGACGCGAGCCGTGAGCTTTATCGACTTTATCAATTTTATCGACAATGTTATCGATTAATAAATTAGTTCCGGAGCAAAACGACGTTTTAAACATTTAGCATCGGGAGAAAATATAGATAATTAAGATACAAATCCAAAATTATTATAGAAATAATATCAGTGTTCGATCACCTGTATAGTGTATAGTGCGTGTATACCAGGCGCGTAGCTAGAAATTTCAAAGGGGGGGTGTTATTCAAACTTAAGAGGACGCTAAGACGCGTGTGTTGTCTCTGTCTTACACACGCACGACATAACAAATTGTCGTTCACTATTTTCAATAGTGAGCTGTTAGTTTTGATACTAGACTACTAGAGTGAATCGACATATTATCAAACTTTTAGGTAAGAACATTATCTGGGTCTTAGCTTGGGCGATTTTTCGATACTTTCACTTTTGAGAAAAATAAGTGTATGGAAATATTAAAAATGCTCATATCTCGCTTGAAAATTATTTATTATACAAATGTATTACAACTTACCCGTGAATAGATAATAGTTTAGAATAATAGTTCTCTTATATAATATTATTATCAATAAAAAAAAAATGAATACATTTTTAAATTAACTTAATGTGTCGACTTTTTGAGGCTAGTGTATCTATTATTTCGTCTGTGGTTACGACTAAATCTCGATGAATATTTATAACAGCTGCTAAGCCATTCGAGCGATTTTCACCAGTTGTATTTCTTAGATATGTTTTAAAGCGTCTTAATGAGGAAAAAGACGTTTCACTGCTTGCAGTTGTTACAGGTAAAGTAATCAATACTTGTAAACGTCGATAAACAGTAGGAAATATGTCTTCGTTGCTGTCAAAGAAGGCTTCGGTAACATTTTTAGGATTTTTAGGATTTTTATTTTTTATATATTCATACCATATTGCAAACTCACCAATTGCAGATATTTCATCAGCTTCAATATCTGAAGAATATGTCTTAAGAAGTTCTTTAAATTCGGTATCATTTTAGATTCTGAGTGAAACGATGAATGTATTGATTTTACAATGATGTGTGTTTTTTTTTTATTTTTTTTTTTATTTATTTTTTTTTTTATTATTTTTATTTTTATATTTATTTTTTTTGTGTCTGTGTACACGATAAGTAGTCGAAATAATGCTTCGATTTTCAACTTCAGTATCTTGTTCGATTGGAAAGTGAATATCGTTGGTGCATTGGGGAGGTCAAAATTTAAATTTCCCAGTAGTTTTCAAAAGCGCCGGGAAAAACAAAATAAAAATTAAGGAAAAACGGGAATTTTTACGCAAAATCGGTTTTCCAAAAAATCGATTTTGGTTTTTGGTGTAACTTTAAAACAAATAACCGTAGATACATGAAATTTTCAGTGGTTGTTTATTTTTGAATTTTCTATATACGATAACATTTTCAAAATATTTTGAACTGTTTAGGGACATTTTCAGTTTCCAATTTTATTAGTTTTTTTTTTTATGAATATCGATAAAAAATTATTTGTTGAGTAAAAATACTTGAAAATTTAATACAAGGCTCCTACTATATTGTTTCAAAGACAGATGAAAAATATTAAAAATCGTTAGTCACAGTTTTTTTTTTCAAGCATTTAAAGTTCAAAAAATGACAAAATATGGAAAAATCACGAAAATTTGCAAATTATTTCGAGTTAGAAATTCATAAAAATTTTTCTTTTTAAATCTAAGATATAAAAATGTAATACAAGATTCCTTATAAGATTTCCTACATTTATCAAAAAAAAAAATTCTATAAGAAAGTCAAATTAAATTTTTATGAGCGTTTGAAATTCAAATTTTTACAACATTGGATATTCACTCGATTTCTCATGTGGCGAATTCCTTATTTTGTTGTAATTCAAAAACGAATTACTGTATATACATGAAAATTTCACTGAATGTTTATATTAGCATTTCCTATACACCATACAATTTTGAAAATATTTTGACTCTTTTTGAGCCGTTTACGGACATTTTCAGTTTTCAATTTTTTTAGTTTTTTTTTTCTATAAATATCAATAAAGTTTCATCTGTTGGGCCAAAAAGTGTAAAAAATTAATACAAGGCTCCTGATATATTGTTACAATAGCAATTGAAAAATATTAAAAATACATAGGCACAATTTTTTTTTATAAGCATTTAAAGATCGCATTTTGACAAAATTTATCAAAATCTCGAAAATTATCAACCATCGTAATTAATAAATTATAAAATGTTCAGTTTTTATAGCTAAAGATTGAAAATTTAAAAAAAGATTCTCATAAATAGTTCATACTGTAGCCAAAAAATCTAAAAAAT